GCCTATGTTTTCCGTGTTTTGTGTCTAAACCATTTTCCGAAGTTGATGTTCTTGTTTGACATTCCAACAACTAACATCACCCGAGGACATCGATTTAAACACACACGCACGTACACACATGTACACGCATGTCACATGCATGGACAATGTGCCTCATGGGAACAGTTTCTCTCACTGCATTGTGTCATTTACCGGAAAATGCCGTTCAGTCAGAAACAGTTCAAATTTTCAAACGTAATTTGGATGAAGATTTATCTGATCTATGTTTCTGTGGGGATATCTCCTCCGCTCTGGTCCCGAAAGTCAGCTATTCCACTAGCAGATCAAGGGCGTACATGGAATGATATTCGCATTTTTTTTCTCGATGGAGTGTACACAGACTTTTTCTTTTGCTCCAAATATATGATTCTGATTGGGTGAGGAGCTCCTGTTGACTCGCATTCTGTTTTCGTTCCAAATCTGAAGTAATGTCGGACCCCATCATTTTCTTTGAAGAGTGCGGGGTGCAGACCGTCCGGGTCAGATGCTGTCGCGTTGGGGTATTGATATCTAACGCTGGATTTCGGTTGCCGATGGCGGGTTGGTGAAGACCAGCTGAACAGTTTTTTAAAGAGCCCACAGCACAGCTCAAGGGGGCGAGATGGCTCAAGTGGTTAGAGCACGAACTTACTGACCGGAAGATCCGTGGTTCGAACTAGACTTGTGCCTCTCGACTTCCCCTGTCTAGGTTTGGGCATCCTGGCAGTATCCTAGCCCTTGTGCTTCCTTCGGGTGGCATAGCAGCTAGGCACCGGAAGGATGCTACAGCTGAACGTCCCTACAGTTCAAGACAACGACTGAGGGAGTGAATTTCAGTTCAGTCTTTTTTGTATGTTGTTTCACTAACATCTGCCTTTTAACCTGCCACAATTACCATATCCGTCCTTCTTGTCGACCTAAGCAGTCGTGACAGATCGAGATAAAATTCGTCCTTAGTATCAGATGTCAAGTCTTTTGGAGCGTATATCGATACGAAAAATAAACATCACTTAACGAATCGACCCGCATTGGTCGTACTTGTGCCAGACGACCGTGCAGTGCAAAGACGGCTGTTTATTGGGATCTAGTTCATTAGGACACTTTCGGCTTTGGAGCTATGTGCAACTCCAACACCGTAGATACCACGAGTCATTGCCTTAGGATCACCAGATATCCGAAGAGTGAAATGTGGAACATCAGCTCGTTCTAAGCGGCTTGATGTGCACAATCAAAGTGCAGTCTCGTATGCGTGTTTCGAAGACACAGCAAACATCGACAGAGAGAGAAAGCAAAGTTTCAGCAAGGAATGCCTGTAATCCCATTCGACTTTAAAGGCTGAAACATGGAGGTTAGTGAGTTATTATTTTATTTTTCTGGGCCGAGGTTTAGTCACGGGATTGTGGCTGGAGGATCGGCGGATAGATTGATTGCAGTGCACTGTTCGGTGGGTGGGGAGGGAGGGAGTGTGGGAGAAGGCCAGTGAGCAAAGAGCTGCAAGGGCGAACGATACTTCCCGGTTGCCTACGCCAAAGAAGGGTTTTTAGTTGAGGTATCCCGCCTTGAGTCTGACCTACAAAGAAGTGGGAGAATGTAGAGTTTCGTCCGGGGCCCTGACCCTGGCCTTTAGCTCAGAACTCCGGAACGCGAGACACCGATTTAAGGGTTATCTTGGAAACCTTGCCCAGAGCCGATGACTCGAGTCTGACCCACCTGGCTGCAGGGGGACGGCCTGGCCCGAGGACTCAAGGGGTAAGGCATTACTGTTTCACTCCTAGTGCAGCTGCGCACAGCAGCTGTCTTTCAAGCAGCACCAGACCATGGTTTTATAAACATTTCCACCGTATTTAATAATGCGGCAGTGGTTACGGTCAAACGTTGGGCGATCGGAGCGTGTGGTTTTTAGGGCCGATCTTTTCTAGCCAGTCTTCCCTGGGGAAAAGCATCATCCATGAGTATGGACCTGCCGATCGCCCTGGAGGATGGCCTTACTGACTTCACACTCCCATCGCAGAGGACAGTATAGCCCGCAGGATCATTGCAGCACAGAAGCCCAATCACTACGGCAAGGTGAAAGCTTTAGGTCGGGATGGATCCTGTAGACTGTTTCTGGCGGATTCGCAACGAGTACAGTTCACTAAAACTTTTTGAATGACGCTTGCGATTTAGTGTAACACACTTGACACTGGTGTTGATGGTTGTGTATTCATGCTTAGACTGGCTGGTGTTTCGTATCAGACTTCTGAAGATTTGACCACCGGTTGTGTTCTTCCGGTCTCAGAAAAAACACATTTTTGACAACTATTTACTGGTGTTCGGCAAACTTGTGTGTTAGCCACCAAATCTTCGAAGTCATTCAAAGGAGTTTAGCACCAGGGAGTAAGTGTGGGAAACCATCAGCATTATTGTTCTACAACAGTGTAGTGAAATGGTACAACCGAATAAATATAATCCGCTCGTAATCAAAGGTGTTTGGATCAGGGTCTACAGTTACCCTTCCGTGGAACTGACCAATGATCTGGAACGCAAATTAGGTTTGGAGGCTATTTCGGTTTCACTGCCAAATATTGGAGATGTGGCACGACAAGTAGTGACTAATCGTCCAGTGGTGTACCTTTGTGGTGTATAGCTGTCATTCGACCCAAAGGAAGCACGAGGGTTGAGACGATGCAGGGCTGTCCAGGTGAACACAAGGCATAGGCAGGAACAAGATGGAAGTTTTGGTGTGATCCGAACCACGGAGCCTCCTTCCAATGGCTCCATGCTTTCACCAGCGAGCAACCTCCAGCTCGGGCAGGGCACAGCAGCAGGGGATAGAAGAAGCGTAGTCAAAAGGAGCCAAAGGAGTGACTCTCCTTAAGGCAGTTTTACGGCGCACTTTGGTACTACCTACCCTAGAGCTATTTTCGGATGGGCCTGTGAATGAAGATAAACCAGGAGAGCCATAACAAGATGGAAGTATGCAGACAACTGACGATGGATTTCAACGCGCTTGCTAGAGGGTTATGACTGGATGAACGATATTTGAATGCGGCGTTATCTTCCCTGATTGCACTAAGTTCGTTGCCTACTTTTAATAAAGTGTCTCTATCCTACGGACAAGCCAAGACCGTGCTCGCCTTAAGATCCGGTGTTATATCTCGAACATAATGACTACCCCATTTCTCTAATTGAATCACTGATGGCAGTCATCATCATTATCGACAGCATGACATCAGTGTTCAACACCGATGCTTCACTGCCGTACAACCATGACTTTTTTGAAAGCCTTATCGTAAAGAAAAGAGTAAAGATGGACGGAGGAGGGACTTAGTGCTAGCTTAACACAATCATTCCGAGGTGCCTACACTTCCAGACATTCACTCAGGCAATCTGGA